CAATGGTTCTCAACCTTCCTAATGCCTCGGCCCTTCAATACAGTTCCTCATGTTGTGGTGACCCCCAACCATAAAATTATTTTTGTTGCTACTTCATAACTGTAATTTTGCTACTGTTATGAATAGTAATGTAAATATCTGATATGCAGGATGTATTTAGGCGACCCCTGTGAAAGGGTCATTCAACCCCCAAAGGGGCTGCGACCCACAGGTTGAGAACTGCTGCTCTACAGCTTTGGGTGGGGGGGGGGGGGCGGTGGAGGGGGAAATTAACTTATCTCACAGGAATTGTGTTTTTGAGTTTTTTAAATCTTGAAGTATTATTTGACTCTCCCTCTCTTTTTTGATATTGTGATAGGATATCTGTTTGGGTTCTTTCACAAACATGTCATGAGGTCTTGTTATGGCAATTGTTTCGGAAAAACATAGGGTACAACATAATTGCTATAACAAAATACCATAGACTAGGAGGACACAGAGATTCAGTCTATAACACACCACAAGTAGAATCTTTAATCCTTTATTTCACCTCCACCTTTTCAGGGTCAAATCAAGTGACACAAAATATTTAATATTGACTTTTTTGTACTCCCTACTTCTCCTCAGTCCATATATTTCCTCCTTAAACTTGGATTATAAGAAAATAAAAACAACCCTAGGTGAACCCTAACCAACTCTGCTTTCCCTCCTCTAAACTCACCGGATGTGAATCTTTTTGGCACATGTTAACATTTAGTGCATATTAGGATGCTGCTTCTGTGTTGGAGCTTGCTGGATAAGCTAAGAGCCTAGTGGGAAGTGTGTGAGCTCTCTGCAGAACGGGGAGGTTATCCTGTTCTCCAGGTTAGCCACAGAGCAAGGTAGAACCTTGAATGGAAAAATTGAGTAGCAGCCTTTAGTAGACAGGCCAAAGAATCAGGCCTCTTTCTCTTGATCAGAACAAAGTGTGCAAGTAAGGGGAAGAGAGGGTCTCTACTCAAATGAAGATGACTAAGCTGGCGGTAAAGGGTCACACGAAGGAAGATTTGAAGTGAAGACTTGAAGAAAATGGAACAAGCCCTCTGGCTACGTGGAGAAGAGCATCACAGAAAGAAGGAAGAGCACATCCATGCAAAGACCCTAGTGTGTCTGAGAAATCATACAGTGTAGCTGGAGCAGAAGGAAGGAGAGATTAAATGGTAGAACTAGGGTCAGAGGGAAACTGGTTGCTCGGGAATTAGATTGCATAGGGCCTTGCACGCCAATATGAAAACTTTCCTTCTTATCCAGTGCAAGATGACAAGATGTTGGATAAATCAGTCAGGGCTGGCTTCATGGGTGTGTGTGACTTGTGTAGGACTGGGCTCCATGCTTAGAAGGACCTCAAGCTTTTAATATGCTGCAGTTGCCATCTTTTAACCTTCAATTTGTGTGTTATAAGTGAAGTCCCATGAAGAGGAGGAATATTAGCAGATATTGTTTATTGTGTGTTTAAATGTGCTGGACACGATGTTAAACAGTTTATATGCCTCATTTTATTTATTCCTGGCAACTGCATCAGTTGCTAGAGATTGTTATTACTTCTATTTTACAAATGTTAAACACGAGGGCCAGGAAGGTTAAATAACATGTCCAAGGACACCTCTGGCTGAGTCTGAACTCTTACCCATTATGTCAGGTGTGCTGGTTGTGATAGAACAGGTGATATTAAAATCTGCATCCTGAGATGTGAATAATAGACTAATGGGATTAGAGACTCTTGAGACAAATATTGTTTGCAAAGCCCAATAATATGCGTTATCTCATTTAATCCTCATATTAAACCTGTGTATTAGGCAATTTGCCCAGGTTGTGGTGGGGCCAGTAAGTAGCAGAGCTTGGATGTGAATGCTCCTCCCCCGACCTCCTGCTTGTCTACTCCTTCCACTAACTTCTAGGGATGGTTCAGACAGATACTTTAAAGCAGTGGTTCTCAACCTTCCTAATGCCGCGACCCTTTAATATAGTTCCTCATGTTGTGGTGACCCCCAACCATAAAATTATTTTCATTGCTACTTCATAACTGTAATGTTGCTACTGTTATGAATCATAATGTAAATATCTGATATGCAGGATGTATTTAGGTGACCCCTGTGAAAGGGTTGTTCGACCCCCAAAGGGGTCGCGACCCACAGGTTGGGAACCGCTGCTTTAAAGAGTCCAACCAGTTTTGAATAAATGTTAATAAGGAAACCATTACTAGTTACTTCTTTCTTAGAAATAACAGGATAGGTTTCATAATTCCTATGTTTCCATGGGAACATTAGTACAGAATGTAGCATTCTTACTGTTGTGCAATGTTCTTTCTGTAAATTCATGCGTTCATTCAACTGCGATTTATTGAGCAAATAGTCTGTGCAGGCCCTATGCTAGGTGCAGAACATGTGATTAAATAAGAAACAAAACTTCAGTGAGCTCAGGCCTTCTGAACCTCAGATACTCTGCAGAACCTTTCACACCTGGTTGAAACTTTACGGCACTGCATTCGACCTACCATATACTCTATCCCTTAGGACCCAGTTGCCTAAGAGATCATTTCTCTCCCCATTGGTTTGGCACAGAATAAGTTCAGTTGTAGTGCCTTGGAGATGGAATCTTAGATTTGGACCTTGGGGAAATAGAACCAGCGTGTTTTCCCCAAAAGGATTTTCCTACTCCGACAGGGTCCAATTTTAAAGCTAGATTTGAACATAGACTCTGCCTGGCTGAATGGTACTGCATTTACCCTCATTCACCACCTGATCGTGCCTTTTTCTAGAAAAACTGGACTTGTACATGCCAAGTAAGGCAGTGCCCAGGGCACCAGTCTAAGAAGAAAGAATGATGCCTCCAGGGGTGGGGCAAATTCCACTTTGTCCAGGTTGGATGAGCTGGAGCACAAAATGGGGTGGCTATTTCTACATGCAGAGACATTTGTGCACTCCTACTTCAGAATGCTACTGATTAAGAATGGCACATAACACTAGTTCGAGCTGAGCCTGGTGTCTACAAGAGGGAAGGAGGAGGGTGTTATGTTTTGCCTCCAGATTTAGAAGACTATAGTGTAACACGCGTCGCCTCACTTCCCTCTGGTCTTAAAACATGTGACTCACAGTATAATTTAAGAATTGCACTCCCTTACTCTCCCATTGCAAGAGTTCGGTAAGACAAATTATAAAAAAACCTAAATTTTCTTATTTATTTATTATTATTATTTTTAAAATATACTTTATTGATTTTTTACAGAGAGGAAGGGAGAGGGATAGAGAGCTAGAAACATCGATCAGCTGCCTCCTGCACACCCCTCACTGGGGATGTGCCCGCAACCAAGGTACATGCTCTTGACTGGAATCGAACCCAGGATCCCTCAGTCCGCAGGCTGACGCTCTATCCACTGAGCCAAACCGGTCAGGGCTAAATTTTCTTATTTTTTTAAAAAGACATGAGGATCTTATATGCATTGAGTTTTTAACAATCTTTTTCAAGCAGCAAACTATTTTATATTCTCTTTATATCTAATTTGGTGAACCACTCTGATCACAGGTGTAATTTATTCGAGTCGTTTCGGGAGTCGTGGGACCATACATCAAGTCTGCAACTCCTATAGCATTATGAGAAGGTAATTCTGGTTTTGGAGGCGGGACGTGGCATTCCCAGCTTCCAGGAGATCTCCGCCACAGGCTCAGCCTTCCGGCAGGTACTTTCCCGCGGCCGCTGGCCCCGCCCCGCCTCGGCGCCTAGCAGCGCTCCGAGCGGCCTCTCTGCGAGCAGCGCAGCACCCCACCAGCGGGAGGTGGGGCCCAGGGCCGCCTGCCCGCCACTCCTCCCGGCTTGGACGCTTCTGGGCCACCGAGAGCGCGTGGGGAGTACTGGCCGGCGGCGCCCGCCTGGGCCGCCGAAGGGCCCTCGA